ACAAGTGAGGGCACTATTTGTGTGATGTAAATGCGGACGACACTTTTCAGTTTGCATGTTTTCATGTTCCTACTTTGAACCTCAAAGTTTCTCTTTGAAAACATTTCCGAGAAATGGTTGCTCGCTGGCTTAGTTTTATGCAACATTGAGGTTTAGTGCCTCGGATTACTATTGTTAATACCGATAAAAATGGCACAACAAAATATTTCTCTTACATATTCCCTTTAAGAATGTTCAAAATTTTTAAAAATAAAGGAAGCTTTGTGTAACTGATGAATGCAAGCGAGTTTTACAGGATCTGTCTGGAAGCGCAGATAAGCGTAACCTTCCAGTGAAGCCTTTAAAATCTTTCTGCAGGTTTGAACTGTTTCAAAGCATGAAAAGCCCCGCAAAAGCTCGTCAGAAATTTTTAGAGCTGGTAGTGCAGAATGTACTGCCACGTGTGCTAAACTTTATTCAGTAATTCACTTTCGTGGAATTGTGCAAATTGATTAGAAATTAGGCCTACATCTTATTTCCGGCACAAATAAAACCGTTAGGTATGATACTGCAGTAAACACGTTGTGTGGCCAATGTGGGACAGGATTTCGAAAGGGAAACCGGATTTCCTCTGATTTATTTTCGGAGTTTAGTTTTGAAAAATCTGCAAATGTGGCGATTAGTCCCAAACCATGCTGGCACTTTTAATAGGGCCACCCTAACGTTTGCTCAGTTCGAAATGAACTGGTGATTCCGTATTTGTGATGTTTTTCATGCCCTTTTCCAGATAAGGATCGATTGTTGACACCATTATTTTAAGCGGAAACGCTTTTTTCCCCCGTTATAGATTCGAAACATGTAGTATAGATCTCTCTTGATCATGACGATCCAAACCACGTTGTTGAAATCAATGACAGTTCTCAAATTTGTAGGCAATGCTTTTTGTCAAAGCGATGTTCCTCCAGTTGTAAAGCAGGCTATCGATGCCTTCCACTCATCACTGTACATTTATTAACTTATACCGAGGATTGATAAACGAAACATGTTTGGTACAATGTACCGTAGTAAATACGTAAGACACAGATGAAAAGGGGGCAATACAGAGGCACATTCCTTAGAAAATGTTTTCGGGTGTGAGACGCTGAGTTAGGATTGATTTGCATGGCTGCAGTATCTGCAAAGTGAGATACACCTATATTACTTAAAGCAGTTTGAGATATTTGTTTCGTATTGTGCTGTTTTGTCCCAGCATTAAGTTAAAAGGAGACCAGAAAGGCGATTTCAGTTTTTGGATTTGGGAAGAAAACGCGGGAGGGCGGAACGACGCACTAACCTAGCTGATTGCTGATACACTGTACGCAAACCAGTGGCAAGATTCTAGAAGATGGCAGCTATACTTTGACGCTCTGAGCTTTTAGGTTCATTAGCAGCCCAGCCAAAGCCTAACTCCTCCACTCTGGTTGCGGAAGTAGGCCATTTTCTTCCCACTCCCTGTACGTGAATCAACCGCTGCCGCTCCTCAAAAGGAGAGTGTCTGAGCCTCGGGCTGATTTTTAGAGAAGCAGGCGAGAGAAAAAAACGGAACACGTACTGCAATGGACTGCATTTCTGTATTCTGCATTTCGTCGAACACAAAGTCTTCCCCCTTTTCATCCAACCCTGAAACCGAAATCCTCAAAGTTTTGTCACAGTTCTGAGAATTACTGTTGTGTGCTTTTCATCCTCAGATTAGTCTTCTTTGTGAATCACAACAGACCATCTGCAGTCGACAAAGATAAACCTGCGTGAATTAAACAGAAACTTCAGAAGAAACACAACATGCCCGTCCGTTTTTCCCCATATTGTCGCTCGAGCATTGTTTTGCAAGCTCTTACAGTAGAACCGACCGCGCTCTTCTACTGTTTTCGGGAGGAAATTGAAACTGAGCGTAACCGTTCGATTTCCAGTTTCGGAATTATGCATCAAATGGCCTGCCGGAACGAGCGAGGTTGTAAATACATTGAAGGCGTCGCTTTGTGGCAGGATCGATACCAGAATCGAAATTTAGATGTCGGCAAGTGCACTTTTATTGAAAATGTATAGGGCAGGACCTGCCGCTTTCTCGTTTCTCATGTACACGTAGGATTTTCACGCGTGTATCTAGCATTAACAAAATGAGGCTGTCTTTTTTTTTTATCTTAACGCTGAAATACTGCGCTGTACAAAATACATCATATGGCTCCTTTTGGTTACGTATGCATGAGAAGTGTACAACCGAGTCTTGCACCGTGCACCTTGAACGGCGTAACTACAGGGACCCAAGCAGTGATCAGGCCCTTCCCCCCATTTGAAATTTTGAAATGCACGCAACCTAAATACATGCACTAGAACAGTGTAATTTATCAACTTTCGATGCCGTGCGACCCTTATTTTAGCCTATTATGCTACTGGTATACCTTGGCGTATCACTCGTTGTCCTTCGTGTTTCCAAGCCGGATATGATGAATCATAGTTGACAGCGCACACAAATTTTTGCGTCCTTGCATGTAAACGTTTTCAAGAGTGCACAGATTTCCACTGAACCGCCGTCAGGTTTACGCAGTGAATGCTGTGTGGTATCTTAAGTGAACAGCACACAAATGTCTTCCCTTTTTGTCGCGTAAGCATCTCGTTTCAAATGTCAAATCTCTTTGGACGATGTTGCCACGTTGAAAGGGCATAACCAGCGGGCAGTGCTATATCTGGAACTGCAATTGAACCCTGACCGTGGTATAGATCAGGGTTCGCAAAAGAGACAAGATCAGTTAGTTCCAACCAAATTGTCATACCTTGACGAATGAAATTTGTTTTAGTTATTAAGAGTGAAAGTTTGTGCAACGAGTGCAGTTTTGTCCAAATTACTGGTGTGTATTTGTTGAATGAAATCAAAGATATAATAGCTGAAATCTGGATATTAAGCGCATGATATATCAGAAAATTGCACAGTTGGCAAAACAGTACTGAGGGATGTACACAGCAGAGTAGCCTAGAAAAAAGAGCAAGGATATAAAAGTTGTTTCTATTGGTTAGAAAGGGACGCCTTTCAATGTAATCAATGCATCTACGTTTGCATCGATTTTGAAGGTCACATTTCTGTTCACGCCTCCAAGTATTCAATTCGGCAGGTCCAAAAGTAAGGTCAGAAGCTTTTTCACGACTGTGGTCGGCCCTGCACCGTGTCTTAAACGCACGAGCTTCCTTCCATGAGTAATTCAGTACTTACACAAGAATCCCGCTGGATCCCCGGGAAGTTGGAGTGACTAATGCTAATGAGTCACGTCATATTTCTTTGCTGTCAGTTTGGGAGTTTTTAAAGAGTTTTTCCTGAAGACGCACGTGCGAAATTGTATTCACGGGAGTTAGAAATCACTTTTACCGAGCCGGCTGCGCATACAGATCATTTGTATACAAAGGTGCTGTGAGGAAAGTGACTTTCCATTTGGCAAAATATCAAACCCTGTTTGAAGTGAAAATTTCAACCCGTTTTTCTCTCGTTTTGTTGAATGTTTTCAAAGGAATCATTCCATACTTTCTGGAATGAAAGCGGCCTCGAGAAATTCAAGTTATCAGATAATGCAGTTTTTAAAAAATAATTTCACAATAATCACAGTTGTTCTTATATTGAAATAGAAAGATTTCTTGACCATAAATCTAGCGACAGCTTGAATTTTTGGACAGTTTCAATGGCATAACTCCGAGTATTGTTGCACTGTTGCTGGCCAAAACGTCAAAAATGTCTACTTCTTTGGTAAATTTCCTTTACAATGTTGGTAACACTTTACTCAGAATTAAGTTTGCCAAGCTTTGGATTGAATAGCATTGCTCTTCATTTCACCAGCTTTTTCTAAGTGTACTACAAAATCAAAACCGGACAAACCTTGAACTGTTCATCTACATGTTGATTAGGATTTCCTTTCTGACGTGAACAGACCGAAAGGGATCGGATCTGACAAGCATTCCATGCTGTGTCCAGTCCCTTGAGACATTTTGCACAGAAACAAGCCTCACACCCAAAAATGTCAGTTGAGGTCGGGCGAAAGTTGGGATTCGTTTACGAGCTGTATTCCCCTTTAACAGAGGCCGATAACCTGCACCCGTCTTATATCTGAGCGCATTTTTATTGCCACAGCATCCTCTGACGGTGCAAGGGATGACAGTTCAAATAAGAACTTGTCTTCATCCCGTCTCATCACCGAGCAATCAAGACAGGCCATGCTCTCAAACATTAATATACCGGGCCAGCGTCACCTCGGCCGAGTCGCACCACACGGCGTGGGCGCACGGCGAGGTCCCCCTTCGGAAAGCGGCTGCCGGAACCGATCGGTCGTGTGTAAACTCGTGGCATTTTCTCAAGATTCTACGATGGCTCGACAAAAATTTGAACGGAGATGAACTTTCCTGAAAGAAAAAAATTAACCTTTTGCAGGCCAGACACAGAAATGTTCAACTGTCGCTGAACAGATAGCTATGTTGAGATTTTGTTGATTGATTTCTTTTTGCCTGAGAGCGGAGCTTAGTTGAACTCGGTTTTTGATTTACCTAAAACCTCCATGAACTGGAATGCACACGGCAATTTTGAGAGAGTCACTTATTACTTATTTTAAGGCAGTTTCTACATGAAACGACACGGTTTTTATCAAACCATTAATTATTTCCAATTGAATTATATTCGCACCAGGGCGACGAGATGGCGTGCGTCGTCAGTCTAATAGAGGTCGCTGTTTATAAGTAACAGTGACCACTTGTGGACAACAGCAGGCCAGTGGCGATGAACTGCTATCTAAACTGCATGAATAATAAAAATCACTTTAGTGAAAAAGATGTGTTATGCTAACAAAGCACTCGTTTAACAATGCAGCAGGTTTAGTTCACTGAAAATTAGAATACTTACTTTCACAATGCAAACGACTGAACGTGTTTCCGTTGTGTTAGAAACATACAGTATAGTGAGTTAAAAATCCCTGTCGAACCGGTATTAAATGAAATGTCATTTTGTCCAACAGGAAACACGACTTAAAAATATGGGAGACTTTTCAACTCAGCATCAACCGTTTTGAAGTTTACTCTAACACGAGCGGGATCGATGAACTTTTGGAGTATCTCATGACGCAACCGATCTACGAAGTCGGTAAGCCCTTGTCAAATACGTCACTGCTTGGCTTTTGCTCAATGTCTGAGACACGGTCTTAGTTCGCCGTTCTAGTCAGTTACTGGGCGAGTTGGAACGATGACCATTAGCCGACCGTTGCCGACCAATGGTCAATTTAATTTTCCCTTGTGGCCTTTGAACAAAATTTGTCCAGGGTACCAGGGAAAACCGACCGCTGGTTGACAAATGGTCATGATGTCGTTTACTTGCGAGCTTTTTTTTTGGGGGGGGGGAGATTCTTCTCTGAACTGATCAGCTTGTACTAGCTAGGTCTGTTTGAGATCAGCACACCAGAGAGTCTTTGATCTAATCCCTTTATTTCATGCATTTGTATTTTTTCCATACTGACTGAAGGATTTATACCCTCATATTTAACGGTCCACTCTGCACTGTTGAGCATGTTGATGCAGTGCCTGGTGGTACTCACCTTTCTTGTAACCATGTAACCGAACAAAGCGACACGTGCATACTTAAAACCATTTCAAGTGTCCACTCGTGCACTCTTCCTAGTTTCATTAACATTAAGAAGTTGCTTGCAAACTCCTTTTAACCGTAACAGTCCTCAATCCTGCATCTGTTGTCTCACTTACCACTTGTTGCCATGTCAAAATAGTAAATAAAATGGAAATACGAATATAAGATTGTGTTCATTCAAAGTATACCAACCTAAATAGAGTTAATCATTTACTTCTCTTTGTATTTTCCAGACGAGAAATCTGGAGGTACCCAAGTGAAACTAATTTTAACCTTCGAAGATGGCGGTCACGCTCTTTTCAAACCATGGAGGTAAGCCAAGCTCACACTACTTAGATATGTACGTTAACTACGAAATGAATTTGAGCAATAAGTTACCGGTTATGGCTTTGACTTAAACTTCGGTTATTGCCCTGTTTGCTGGCCCCACAAAGCCATTATAACTGGTTGGAGTTTGTTTTGGCCTTTATCTAACTCGATTTTATCCTCGACAGGTTTTCCATTTTGCGTGTTCTGGTGAAAAAAAACGCGCTCACTGAAGCAAATTGAAAAAGACATTACTGATCTGTTGCTAAATAGTGCACTTCAAAAACAGTGGTTTAGTTTAACATCTTGGGGGTTATCAGAAGACTGATATCAGACCCCGACGGTGTTGAATTAACACCGATCAACACCGCAATTTATGTATTTATGTATGGGTCAATGGAAGTTTACTATTGTTGTCGTACCCCGTTTAATGTATAAATTTTCATGAGTGGGTTTCATTGGTTTCTTTCAGAAATTGGGTCCGTTGGTTAAACGCTTTTAAAATGTTCGTCTGTCATTCATGTTTATTGATTTGTTTTTGCAGGGTATCACGGGAGTACGAAACGTTGCCAAACCATTTCTACTTTTCCGATATAGAGCGACATAACGCAGAAATAGCAGCTTTTCACCTTGATAGGTAATGATATCAGTGATGACTTATAATTTGCTGAATATACACTTAAGTTCGTATATAAATGGTTTTACAAAGTGGTTTTTGAAAGAATTCGTGTACAACCGATGTGTTAATCATTGTGCTCTGATCGACTGCTCACTTTTTTTAATCACAAAACCATCTTTTAATTTCTCAGCAAATGAGGAGACCTTTATTTGATGTCATCAGAAGCACGTTATCAAATATCTAGAATATCATCTTTCTCAGGCTTTGGTCTTGTTAACATTCAGACCCTTTGCACTGACGTCATTATGCAAATTTCCCACGAGTCTCTTTTATCCGCCATATTTGATGTCACGCCATGTCACAAGCTGCCCGCATTGTCTTGGCTTTTACCGCGGTTGGCTAAAATTGGATAAACCATCCGTCATCCGTCAGAGATGGTGGACCACCGAAACTGTCGCTGTAATAATACCGATTTATCCAGCCTTTCATTTCCCCTTTCAGAATTTTAGATTTCCGGAGAGCACCCCCTGTGGCCGGTCGCTGGTTCAACTTGACGTCCGACATCTACGATCTGGCTGACTCGGGTCTCCGGAAAACATTCTTCCGTTCACCTGGTATAGTCATCGCTTTTTACTTCCCGTTTTGCAATGTGTCGTCTGTTGGTTCTTCAAGAATCATGTTAAGAAAGGCAGCCATGTAGATTCACCATTCGGACCCTTCTCACTCTCATCTTTACCTAAATCACATGAAAGCTGTTCAAAATGACTGAGCGCTTTTAAATAAGGAAAATCTTTTGCCCATCTCAGAAATTGGGGTTACTGAAACGAACACATACAGCCTTGAGAATTTTATCTTTACTGGCCGGTGCCTACTCTGAACGTTCATTGCATTCCCCTTTGAAGACTTTTATCGAAATGGGAATGACGCATGCGAAACGAAATTGGCGTCTGTTTGCGGCAAAAATCACGAGAGTTGAATATCAAAATTTGCTCAACTTTGGCAAATATCAAAGTCAAAGACGTCGTGGAGATACCATGACGTCAGTAATTGGCGTTTGCGTTTGCCTTTGAGCCGAGTTTGATCCAACCTTTAGTCAAGTCAAATGCCTCAGGTGCATTGCATCCAGGGGGTTAAATGTCGGCCGGTGGATCTCTGCCTCGGATTGTTCTCAGATATGCAAACAAGACTCGCATGTACGAAACGCTTTTAATCGATTATTCTTACAGCACAAGTCAATTCGCACGTACTTAACTCCAGAACTCACACCATTCGTAACAAAATCAATCAACTTTATAATGGGTTACAAGCAAACGCAGACAATCGCAGACAATCACAGCATAATTGTGCGAACGGTTCATAACGCGAGGATTCATTGGGCCATTGATTTGTTCTCTCCTGTTTGCAGCCAATAACATATGCTTTGTCGGTCATTGCTCGTATTACTGCGAGACGGAGACGGCTGTCTGCGGCAAGCCAGACATGATCGAGGGGTCAGTGGCGGCCTATCTCCCGTCCTTCAAGGCGGCACCTCGCAAGACGTGGCGCCATCCGTGGAGACGATCCTACAGTAAACACAGAACTGCAATGTGAGTTACGCCCAAATGAATTCAGAACCAAACTTTCCCAGCAGCCTGGATTTTGTGGAAAATCTAAACGAGAAAGAAAGTCCGAACGCCATTGCAAAAGCTGGAGATTCACTTGAAATCGCTAATTAATAAAAACAATGAATACACAGCAATCAAACCGTAAAACCAGTTTTGAAAAAAGATTTAGATTCAAGTTGTTTAGTGGGTCTGCACCCCATTGGCGTGGGGGGGGGCTACACCATATTCACTATAATAGAGGGCGATGTTCATGATAAAGATGTACACTGTAATGTGTATCAAATTCATGCAGAATCTTACATTAGAATGGCATAGGCTATTTTGCTTTTAAAAATTGTTTTCCCTTTTAGTGATATTGCAAACATTTTAGTTGTAAGGAAAGTATAAAAATTTGTCACAGTCCGCTTTAATCGTTTTTTTTTTGCTCATCGCAAAAACGTGTGTATGTGAATTTGTTTCTGCATTTAATTGGGGACCCTGAACAATAGAGGACAATAAGGTCCCCGATTGACAGAGGGTCCCCGATTGAAAACTGTGTACAAAACATATGGGTGTCTTCTAAAAAAGTTAAAGGACATGTACAAACAAAAGAGTTGCAGGCAAATACATACCTGTGTGTGTGTTGGGGGATGATTCAATAGCCATCCCCCGGGATTTACGCCCATGCTGCACCCGCTACATATTGTGCAAGTTGTCCTGAATGTCACGTGGCGTGCAGACGCACGCATTCCTGCCAGACAGCGCGCCCACACGCCTACTTCCCAATCCGCTGACGAAAGATGAGTCCAGCCGCACCTTTTGAACAGGAAGTCTCCGATGCAAAGACCTCAGCTGCGCCGAAAGGAACCTTCATGGTGCATATGAGAACAAGAAAACTTTGATATCAGAAGAAGAGAAATTCGAAACAAGGACGACTAGACATAACTTGCACTTAGGGCCGCACCTTTCCGTATTAATTATTAGTATTATTAGACCTGTTGTGAAAGGTGAGGTTTTGGAATCAGACTCTGTTATGGGTATACCGAAGCGTTGGAATTCTAGATATTTACATACGGGCATTTTTTCCCAACACAAATTTGGGAAGCAGAAAACAAGAGGAGACTTACCTTCAATTGTACGTGAGTTTTCATTGGCATAATACAGAAGTGCTGTCTTCATGATAAGAATGTAAGGAATGGACAAATGATTGAAAACCACTGCAATCGTGTGCCTGGGCCCAGTGAAAAGAATCCTTTCGATTTGTGCTAATCCACACAAAAAAATTGGCCATGTTTGCAAACTGCAGTCCACCTCCCATTCGCACGGGAACAGTATGTGCTTACGGTGGGTTACAGGGTCTAGGTAACAAAGCGCCCTCTCCGGGTCCCCGACCTCCTATGCACAAAAGTTCAACCGATAACTGGTTCTGCTTCTTTTTTGTTCAACTAATCTTACAGATGGGAACAGGACCCGACGTACTGTGAGCGGTCAGTCATGACCAAGCACCCGTACAAGACCGGGCGGAGACTGCTCGATCTCATGGACATGTCCGTTTTCGATTATCTGATAGGTAAGTCCCATCTTATGTGAACTTCGAACACCTTGCATTTCTGATTGTACTGTACGTGTTGAATTTTATGGTGCACATAATGAACATGTATAGGTCATTGTTGAGCAGGGCGTTGTGTTCTTCAACCCCAACTCTATTCTTATACCAAAAGTAGCTCACGCGCTTCCATGGTTTATTTTTTGTAATTTTTGTTCTTTTTCCTGCTTATCTTGTCATGCCTCTAGGCGAGGGTCAATTTAATTTAAACCGTCTGGACTGATCATTTGACTGGGCGTAATCGCATTGTTGAATACCATAATTTGAGTAGGACTGCATCTGAACCGGCGACCTTCCATTTACCGATGGTCTATCAAACCGGTCGAGCCCTCCTCCGACTTGCAGTTGTCAATGTCTGTGGTAAACCATTCTTAAAACCAGTAGATGAGTTGCTTTCTCGCATGGAATGAAAATTCCTTGTTAAAAGAGGAAAGCAGAACTCCTTCGTTTGTAGATTTCGATAGAACTCCGTAAAGAACTTTCAGAGGTTAGCAATCTCTGTGTCAAAACCGTTGGGTTGGATTGAAAATCGATCGGAGGAGAATCAAGCGCGTGCAAACAGGTGGATTTTGTGGCGGTTACGTCCACCGAAGTAACGCAAATCGATGGAAAGCCTCGGGTTGTAGACGCTGTGACGGGTGGACAGGTGGATCATGGCCCACCGACGCAGCTAGTCGGCCTGATCACACCGGCCTCTTCCTTTTTTGAATTCCTCTGGCGCGGCAAGATATTAGTCTTCACGAAACGTGCAAGAGTTGTCAGTGTTCACAGAGCTTTAGGATTAAGAATGTTTGCCGCCAAGTAACAAGTGAACTGTAAGGGGTGGGTAAACCTTTAGTTTAATGTTCAATGTCACACGTAACACATGATACTGAAATAATCGAAAGAACTGAAGGATATTTCGATTAAAGTAGAAAATGACTATTATTTAACTTCATGCTTATCATTTCTTTATTGACTTTCTTCAAAGGACGCAATCACGTCTATGAATTAATGCAGGATATGTTATTATTTTGGTAGCTTCTGTAGGCAACTGAAAAAAGAATTTGAAATATCTTAAATAAAAAGGTTAGGAAGGTCTCCCTTTTCTTAAGGTTGGAAAATGCCATAATATGTAGTTTAGTGCCACGGTATTATTCCGAATCTGCCCAAATTCCCACTCGGCATACTTTCCTTTAACTTCTGACTTATTATGGTCTTTGAGTCTTGACCCCTCCTAACATGTCCTTTTTTATTCACAGGTAATATGGACCGACATCACTACGAGACATTTGAGGCCTTTGGAAATTTTACTTTCCCAATTCATTTAGATCACGGAAGAGCGTAAGTCCGTTTTAGTCATGTTTATCTCTGATTCCAAGTAGTCCGTCAATATACACATGTACATAGGTGAATGCTTGAGCAACGCCCCAGAGTAATCTTATGCAAATATACGCCTTTCAGACTTAATGGGGCAATTTTGTTTGATCACTGTGCTTTTGCATATTCAATAGTCTGGTATGTAATCAGTACAGATCATCCCTCCATTTTACCGCTGTCTCTTCACAATGTCTGCAATGACAGATATCTGTTATAAATCGTTTTCACGATTTTTGAATGACTGGTACAAGACACTTTTGTGATTGTTGTGCCTGTTTTGTTTGTCGATCGCTTTGCCAAAGTAAAATTAGCATAAACTTACAATACAAGGTGTTAAGCTGTCTGCTCATCATGGCGATGATGTTTTTTTTTTCCTGGCAGGTTTGGAAAGCATCACCACGATGAGTTATCCATTCTTGCACCTCTCTTCCAATGTTGCCTGTGAGTATCATTTGTTCCAAGTAATACCCTTGAAATTTCGAGCTGAGAAATGATTGCCTCTTGATCTGTCATTCATCATGGTCAACACAGCTTAAAGTATGGAATCGAAAGTATAGAAATAAAAGTACATGTATGATTTTGCCCTGCTGCAGTGTGCTGTGGCCGAACACATGAAATGAAAATCCACAGTTTTCATGTACATGTACGCACGTGACATGCACGCACGTGTACATTCTATTTGCGTGAAAGTAATACTTTTCTCGCCTTCTCTATTGCTAAAATACAACATGCTTCGCTTTAGTGCGCTTGGATAGAGGTGCATGCTCATTACTTTTGTCTTGCTCTCATGAACGACATACTTTATCACCTAGGTTTGTCATCTTTTAAAATGGAATACCAGATCTGAAGGACCCAACTTCATCAAAGTTTTTTCACAGAGTGTTGTACGATGATTTTAGGATTTTTCCACTCATGCTGTTGCATGTCACTGCAAAGACATATTGAGTGGATGAAAATGTTCCTGTCAGTTTAGTGTTTTGTGTATCAAATACCAAGTTTCTTGGGGAAACCCTTAGTTTGTCCCTGAACCTTTTAAGGCACACCCAGCTAACGTTGCCTTCCTTTCACGTTGCAGTTTACGCGAGTCGACGTACAAACGGCTCCAGCTTCTTGCCAGTGAAGAGTACCAGCTGAGTGACGTCATGCGGGAGTCCCTGTCACGTGACATGATCTTCCCAGTGTTGTTAGAGGCACACGTAGAGGCGATGGACAGACGACTCCAGACCATCCTGGCTCAGGTGCACCGATGCTTCCAGCGCAAGTCCAAGGAAGCCGTGCTCAGACCTGAGCCTCGCCTGGAGGACTACAGAGAGCCGGAGCCGTCGGCCAAGACTGGGGAAAACTTCGATGAAGAGGAGTACTGATGAACTTGATGCCAAAGCACCCGCCCAAACTAAAAAAAAAAGGTGACATGATGGAAGTTTCAAATACATGCAGCTGTCCGATTTCTTTGTGATTCGCAAATGGACCAGACGGTTTGTGCCTGTTTGACGAGAATGATGCCTTTGTATAAGACTGTAGTGAGGGCGCAACTTGGTCCATCAACAAAAACTTATGTCGTGATACAGGCAAGAAATCGCAGGCTCCGTGGCCTACCATGGCCGCTATAGCTGAAGGAAATGAACGCTTTGTTTCTGAGATTATACCGCGCACTTCAATTTTGCCGCTGGAGGTCAAGGATCGTGATATTGCCATCTCTCGGAGGATGCAAATATCAGCGGTATAGAAATACGCAAGATCGTGTGATTGTTTTTTCGCATAATGTGTGTTCTCTATTGAGGTTGCTAGATTTAAGATTCTTATAAATGGAATATAGGCACAAAGAAATGGCCTCTCAGATTAAAAGCAGTTCGGAAGGACTGGCCCACAAATTAATCTGACGACTCGCCCCAATCAGCCCATAGTCTGGTCGTTTAACAGAGGTTTGGGTACAAGACATAGTGCGGTCTTTTTTTTAAGAATTGATTTTTTTCTGGGTTTTTTTATTTTCTTTGATAAATACAAAGATTCTTGGATCTGTGATGAGACTGTCCGAAGAGCTGAAAAGCGATTGCCATGGAAGTAAAAAAGCTTGCTTGGCAGTTTGTCCAGTTTATGTTCAAGGTATTTTGTAGTTTATTTTAGTAAAGCATATTGATGTTCTCCAGTCCAAGGTTAATGGCTAGCACTTCTTTGCCTTAGTTGATACTAAGTCATCCTCCTTGGCAGAGGTTCGAGGTTACTTTTCTAGTCTAGTTTTTCCAAATTTTTGGTGAAAGTTGCCCCAGGTAGCATTGACAATCGTTAAAAAGTGATGAAAATGTTATTCAGGTTCAAAAGGGATTTTTGGATGGATCAAAACAACAGCTGCAGCCCCTTATAGCCGCAAATGCTAAATTTACTTTCTTTAAGCCCTATTTTCTCTTTTTTTAGTAAACCTATTCAAAACCAAAACGTGAAGCTGTAGATATTCCACCACCAAAATTTTAGCGATTGAACTTGGCAAAATAATTCGGAAAATGTAACCGAATGAAGGCCATGGCACCTACAACAAAATGGATTGGAAAATTCAGTAGTGAGTGTGGAAAACAACAATATGTTTTATTTCTGTGTTGCTGTCGATAAAAAATAGTCAAGGCAGGTTCCATTTTTAAGAAAAAAAATTATCCTTTGGAAGAGACTCTTTTGAAAATAAATGAGTTGTTTTTAGTGAGAGTTTATCGCACGGGAGCACAGTGACTATTTTGCCCAGAAACTGTAAAAGACAACGTATTGTGTACGTTGAGGTTGATATTTTATCGCACTTGTTATAATTATAAGTTTAAGAGGGATGGAAGAACTATTGCACGTCCTTGTGAGACTGCTTAAACAAGTTATCTTTAAGCTCACAATATCAGCTCACATTTTGTACATGATTGAATTTGCAGCACCGAATGTACTAATTTTACGTTTTGCTGGTGTACATGTTGCTTTTTAAATGGGGCTTAAGTTGATTTTAAAGTTTTTTAAAAACGCACTGAGGCAGTGAGAAACTTCAAGAAGAGATATGGGAAACTTGCCGTTTGATTTAAAAAGAAAGAGTGTTTCCGTGCGTTGAAATATAACGCGGGAAAAATGAAAATGCCCAACTTGAATGTGTCCAAGCAACAGGAAAATGTGTTATATCTTCTGAAGTAGAAGCACGAACTTTCAATCCAGAGATTAAAGTTTCAATATATAGGACAGATGCTTTGAAGGTGCCATTTTCAAGGTCAGAGTCATAATTTGAACTTATTCTTTGGCCAAAATTAGCGTGTTTCATATGTTGTATAAGTTCACGTAATTCAGTGGGTGTGTTTAAAGTTTCACTTCCCACTCTTCCTAAGATGACAACTTTTCTAAGATGATACCTTTTCTGCTCGGAAAGAAAAGCAGAATTGAAGAATCAAAAATATTTCGATAAACAGTCGGGCTGTTGATTACGGAAGAATTTTGATTGGTAGAGAGTTGCAATCTTAAATAGATAGCCATTTTGAGAAAAAAAATGACAAGGCCTTGTTAAGAGAAAAGAGAACATTATCATTTTTCTTGTTTGGCAACACTTCTTTTGCGTTTTTGAAGACTGTATTTAAACACTATATTAGCTCCCTGTAATAATTATATATGGTAATGGTTATCAGCTGAAAATTTAAAGACCAAATCGAAGTTGGCAACGGTGTTTATTTACTCACCGCATTGTAATGAATTGCTGGCAACGGCTTCAGTTTGGGTCTACAACAGGATTCGTTGTTTCTTTCAATTAAATCATATACGATTGAAGTTAACGGTTTCCTGCACGTCCAGAGAGCTAGGCAAAATATCACGCGAGAGCGTTTATTGCTTTTAAAAGGTTCAACGATTTTCATAGTTCATGATACGACCCTGTTGGTTTTTCTTTCAGAATAGCTTAATTGTGCATTTAGCAAGAATTTGATGGTTCAGCTCTCTCACGTTTCATAGTAGACCTAACTCTGTCTTTGACTTTACGCTTTTAAAGTGAATCATTTCTTTTTAAACAACTACCTTACGCGATGCCAAAATTCCGTTCAATCGCATCGCTACCGTGCCTTTATAATATTCATTGTAAATCGTATAATTGAATGCATTTTCCGATTACAAAAATAGAAAACTCATATTTTCATTCATGGTAAACAGTCTGATGAATGATCATTTTCACTGACGTCATGCATTTCCCCACCAACTTCTTGGTTTATGCATTATCCATGTTCTGCCGTGTCAGAAAACGGAGTTTTCATTTTCCGACTATACGGCTGTTTATCCATGATACGGCAAAAGACAAATAGCGTCATGTGTGGATATTTGAAAAGCCTGGTATTGGAACTTCCGCCTGTTTCATCTGCTCTATTAACTGGATATATTCATAGCGACGGTTTGGATAGAAATGTGAAAACCGAGTTTCTGAATTGTCCAAAAGTGTTGCTGAAATTGCTCGTGATGTGAGAAAGACTCAAAGATGACAGACCAAAGAGGATTACGAGAAATGTGGCGTGCAGTGCAAAAGATCTTATTGGTCAATGTCCCCTTTTACGTTTATATTGTTTTGAAGTCAATTGAAGTTGATTTGTTCGTAATCATGCTTTATTCTGTAGCTTTTTCTTAATGTGCAATGGATTGATATAGGTTGGAGCAACTTTAAAATTGATTTTTTTAACTCTTTGTTTTCTCAGTATATTGCTTAATTTAATATCGAATTTGCTCTGTACATAAAAAATGATTGCTTTATTTTAAAGTATAAGTTTGAGAATATATTGATATTAAAGTGCATCGACTTTATACTAAAAAGCAAGGCTGTTTGCGTGATAGTGTGTTTGTCACGAGAAACGTTAGGACGACGATTATTGTATTGCTCTGCTCTATGAAGTTGTAGCTCTTTGGGAAGGCAGTGATTCTATGTTTAGCTATTTGCATTTTTTAGTACGCATTTTGTCGAACGTCCGGATTCGTACAATGATATAGCCATACAGTTCCCATTTTTAACGCTCAGTGGTGTAAATCTGTGCTATCGACTGGGTTGGGGGGACTTGCCTAAAAATTGTCTGGCAGCTGTGGAAATTCGAAAAGTGAGAGGGGGGTTGCTGTGGATCGCAGGACGCCACATGGCACTGGGGGCGCTGTTCATGATTGAGACATTAAAACGGCATATCTTTCGTGTTTTCCCCCTTTTCAGTACTAGGCCCTATGTAATAAATATTTGTTAGGAAGTTTGGAAGAAAAAAAATCAAAATCCCCTGTCTTCTGTTTTCAACCTACCCCAAACAGTCACTAAATATGCAAATTCCTTTGCCTCTGATTCTGTTCGCTTAAGTTCTGATCAACCGTAGTGCGCCCTCTAGTCCCATGATGCAGAGTGGAGCGGCCGCCATGTTGGTCCTTCTTTTCCTCAACGTTATTCTACACGGACGTGCCTTTTTGGCATCTTCGAGTTTTTGAGTCGCTACCACGTTCCTGTGTTACTCTGATCAACGGTAACGTATTGTAATCAATGTGCATCCAGTATTTTGATGAAGGGCTACCGTATTTCCTGGTTTGATGTGTGCATTTTCTTGATTTTTTTTTTTTTTTTTTTTTGTATTTTTCTTTTCTCTTCTAGACCCGTAAACAGGGCCCGACAAATACTCCCCCGTCGTATACTGGGCCCTGTTCCGATTCATAGGGATTTTTTTTGAAAAAGTTATCCGGGATATCCGGGGGCATAACTAAACATCCGCTTGATTTTATGAGGTGAAATTGCACCAGTATACTTAAGGTGTAAACCATCCGCTAGGTTGTTAATTGTGGAAAACTCGCCTTTTCCTCATTTGGGGAAAAAATGTTGCCTTTTTTGCCGTTTTCCCACTCCGGACGAAGTTTGCCTCACTTGCACAAAAGCGACGGCTGTACAGCCAAGAGCGTTGCGTATTAGCTGCGACACAAAGCAGCCGTAATTTTCTACGAATACTTTGATCGACAGGTACTCTCGCAGATCTGAACGAGATCCGTAGGTGCTGAAGTCTGGGTGCAAACCAGACAGGCTCTCGTACGGGGTACCATCACTTAACCATACAAAGGAGTCTGTGTCATGTACAAGTCAGGCGAAAATTCATACGAAGTGGGAAAACGGCCAAAAAAAAAGGCAACATTTTTTCCACCAAACGAGGAAAAGGCGAGTTTTCTACAATTAGCAACCTAGTGGATTTTTAACAGCGTAGCCTATGTAATGAACATACCGGTGTAATTTCTGCTCATAAAATTACGCGGATGTTTAGTTATGCTCCCGGATGTCCCGAATAAAGTTTTCGAAAGAAATCCCTATTAATCGGGATAGGGCCCAGATATATGACGGAGGAGTATTTGTTGGGCCCTGTTTACGGGTCTAATGTGTATCATGCATCTTACAAGCTCTACGCTGCTATGCTATCGAGCCATATTTATAGGATCAACGGGGCGACCCTGGGACTGTTGGGGGTTCCGCGAGGCGGTGTGAGCGATTCGATTCCGCGGTCCCCCTCTCTCCCCGGTAAATACAGGCGAACACGCTTAATGCAAGCTCGAAGGGAGTCTCCAAAAAACATCGTCTTAAGGTGAACCTCGTGATATACGTGTTGCCACTTATCCCATTCATAAAGCGCAAGCCTGGCGTAATGCACCAGCAAGCATTGTTACACACTACGGCAATGTACTGCAGGCCTACATGTACTGTTCGGAACAGTGTACATGTATGCAGTGGATTAGTATTCGTTGTACGTGTACATGTACCAACCTTTAACTTTTTAATAAATTTTAAATCATATCAATAAATATGATTCGAATGAATAAAACAATGATTTCAAATACGCCTACTTTTTTGACGCAACAGCAGAGAACAGTGGTTGTAAGTGGCCAGCCGAACCGCGCCACACGCGTGGCGTGGCCCGGCAAAGCACTACTTGGAAACTGGTACCCGACGTTGCACATAAGTAAAGGGTCTAATAAACTTGAGAACCATTTCATATAAGGACCGGACGTAAGAGGGCGTTGAAATTGGGGAATTTCCGTTGGTTTGTATAATTGGCGGTAGGGGGTCTATTTTGGAAAACGATCTTTTAATTAACGGAGCAGTCATTTTTAATGTCATGAATTAATGTGTGACAGGGTTGTGCGAGTTCATTTTGAAAGGGGAATGTGGGACATCGGTTAATTGAAGGAGGGGAACTTTAGAAGGATGTACTGTAATTTCTAAAACCCATTTAAATTTTCTTTCCATTGACCGTGCAGGGTCTTAAGTGAGATGAGTTCAATATTGGAAGATGTCATCTTTTGTGATATTATCGTGGACGGGGACATGTTTTTTTGTTGATAAGTTTCATATTAGAATGTAATTAACCGAAAGAAGAACCTTTCAGGGAAATTTCAGTGTTTTTATTTGGTTCTACTAGACAGGCAAGCAGCATTATCTCTTTTTTGAAAATGTGGTGGTTGTGAAAAAAGCCGTTTGGTTTATTTGGCGATTGGGGTCCAGGCTTCAGAAAAAATCGGTGATCTTTTTTTGCGCAAGTTACTTATGCTGGTGTTCAGTCAAAAACTCCACCAAGTCAGTAGCAGCACTGGCGTAGATGTCGTCGTTCGTGGCTGGATGGGTGCATAGTAACACTCGGAACTGGGACATTAGCGCAGCTCATTCCCGAGCAGGGTGCTCACTTGGGGCTGATCCGCTACCTTGCTTTTCCTCTTCCTCTCCTTCCTCTTGCTGCCCCTCTTTCTCTTCTTTCAGGTCCCTGACGATTTCTTTTTCGTTCGGCTCGTCCGTGCACTGTAGAGCACCACCGGCCTCTGCATACTGACGAAACGTAACTGAGAAGGCGATGTGCTGTGCCAAACGGGCCCAGATATTATCGGGCTGGGCTTGGTCTTGAGGCTTATCTTGAGGTTGATCTTGGGCTTGGTCTTGAGGCTGGACTTGGGCATACTGTGCCGTCCATGTATACTTCCTTCAAACGCTACCCTTCTAGATTGGAGGCATCGGCTCCGCTCTTTTTGGAACCCCACGCTTGACCGCTTATGCGTCGAGTGGTTTAAGGTTCTCGCCGGTGTGAAGCGATGGCACCTCCCACCTCCCAACAGCGTTGACGTACTTCCAGTTTTCTGGGGAGGATTTTGACAATTTTCCTCTCCGTCCCTGAGATTCCAACTGCAGTTAAAGATAAATTTCCGAAGTTCAGAAACCTATACCAGGAACTTCCCTTTCAAAGAAAAGACAAGTGCACCTTTGAAGCTACTTTTGCCAAACTCGACAAACTCCCCGCTGCTCCGCCTTTATGGCACTCCTCTCCGAGTACCTGGCCCGTGCCTGTGAAGAAGACTCACCAGTTACCCCGGGCTTAACAGCCGTTGCACTTCGAGCGCTCTATAAGAATGTCAACTCTATCTTCGAGCATGGTTGTACGGATCTCCGTCTTAGCTACCTCCACACACACGTAGATCCAACGCCTTGGACGGCATGAACAGGTAAGGTAAGGTAAAGACCTTTTAGCTGGAAGTTCATAGAGATGATGGAGGCCAAAGCTAAATGCATCGACACGACTCACAAACTTAGTTTCTGTGACCCCCCCCCACCGGCTCTTCCTCGCCAGTCCCGTATTGATGACCGCTGGGCTCGACCCTTCAGACCTCCATGGGTACTTTGGCTCTTTTCGCCCCTTTCGTCAACTCATTCGTCAGACAAACCGTGGACGTTCCTCCTATTCTCAGTCTGCCACACCGCCTCAAAAGAGCTACAAGGGGAGAACTACCAAGTCGCGCTACCTCCGATCTTTCGGGGGTAGACGCCCGTGACTATTCAGATTTGCCGCCCCCCCATTCCCGACGACTTCAACTTTTCGCAGGGTCTTGGGAGAAAGTCACATCGGACAGCTGGGTACTCGCGACTGTTCGCCACGGATACTCACTCGAATTCACAAGCACCCCTCCGTCTGTACCTATCCTCCATTCGACTTCAGTTCCTTCCAACAGAAATAACCGAGAGGCACTGGAGCCATCCGCCCAGTTCCCAAATCTCGGACGAACAAGGGCTTCATCTCAACGTTCTTCCTCATTCCGAAGAAAGAACCCAACAGTTGGTGACCTGTTATCAACCTCAAGCCTCTGAATGAGTTCATCTGGCCAAAGAAATTCCGCATGGAGACTCTTCGGACATGCATCCAGTCTCTCCAGACTCCTTGCTGGGCCTCTTCCATAGACCTGAAAGATGCCTCCACATCCCATTTCACCCACGAAGCTACAAGTACCTACGCTTCCTGTACGACAGGAACCTCTTTGAATTCACAGCTCTTCCTTTCGGCCTCTCCACCTCATCGAGAGTGTTCACGAGGGTTGCTTCTCACCTTCGAAAGTGGGACGTCATGCTGTTCCAATACTTGGACGACTGACTCATTGTCGGCAGATCGTCCAACGAGAAAGTGGCTTCTACTCGCCTCACTTGCGACATAACGAACCCTCTAGGCTTTATTATCAAGCCGGGCCTGACTCCGCCTCCTGGGATTGATGGCCAGCATGGTGGACCTCATCCCCCTCTGCGGGCTATACATGCGTCCGCTACAACTTCATCTCCTAGGTCTCTACAGACCGAAATGGGACTCACTCAACCTCCACGTCCCCATTTCGGAATTCATCCGCCACCCCCATCTCCAGTGGTGGCTAGTAATGAGATGCCTCTCCTCCGGTATCCCCATCCTCAGATCGAATCCAGAAATAGCCATAACTTCAGACGCTTTTCATCTGGCATGGGGAGCTTCCCAACCACCGCTTCAAGCATCGGGAACATAGGACCTC